GCTGCCGTACACATAGTCGGCGTACGTTTCAAAATCGTTCGTCCTGCTGCTCGGCTGTACATGGTTCTCAGTTTCCCGTTCGATGCGCTCACGATCGTCGGCTCTGTCGTCTTCAAGCGTACCAACCAGTCGATCTCGTTGTTTCTTGAATTGTGGCAATTTCGTCATCCAATGATATTGCTTGATGGATATTTTAAAATTGCGTACGCTTTTCACTTTCACAGCGCCCGTATCGTCTTTCTCTCGATCGATAATTTGGCAAGCAATGATTTCACGATCGCCACATCAAAAATTACTTCGCTAAATAGTTTTTTTTGAGATTTTATATGGAAAAATGGCATAAATTTTAAGCGATTTTAATATTTTACCGATTTGACGATGTGCTGCGGTCGAAGCTATTATTCTTGTCATGGAAGAAAACACATTTTGACATTCCATTTCGATTTGACTTTGTGTTGACGATGTGCTGGCGTTTTGTATATTTTGGTGGATCGGTGAATGGCGGCTTAACGAATTTGAGTGTTGTTGCTGCTGCTGTCGATTGTTTTGATCGAATCGTACGCGTTTCGATTGTGTCGAAGACTGTGACGAAACTAAGCTAGGTGTGTGTATGACATTACTGTGTGCGTCGACAACATCATCATCATCATCCGATTCAATGACTGTATAGAAATCAAAAATGAAAGTTTTCAGAATCAAAATAAGAAGAAGAAAAAAATCAAACGAAAGACACAACACAACGAGCTATTTATCTTTTCGTCTTTTTGATCCAGTTGTATTTGTGGCTCGGTATCGATTGAAATACTGAGTTCCAGAATCGTTCTGTGACATGACTTCCAAACCAACTGTGCATGGTGTACACTGTTCAAATTGAATATCGATCGATTGATGAACTTCGTCTTGTACATCCACATGCTCTTGTGCCGGCTCAGTTTGTTGACTATTGTCCACAGTCACATTCAATGGTTGTCGTTGACGCTGCGAATTGGCCCATTCAGAATATATTCGAATTCTTTCATTCGTTTCATTAACGCAAGTACGCTTCGGACGCATCCTTAATTATAAAATGCGGAAAAAAAAGAAACAAATCGATACATATTCGTACAATATCGAAGAAAGATCTTGGACAACAAACAAGCGGAACAGAACATAACCAAACTTCAAAAAGCAAAGAAAAAAAAATTGAACACGTGCCGAAAAATTCCGAAAACCACCAATCAATTTAGAAATACTCATCAATTTGCAATCAATAGCGATAATTTATTTTCGAAACACGACAAAACATGAATTTACCTGATTTATTTTGGGACTTTGATGAATTAATGCACAGGAAAAATTGAAAAATTGTTCCGTTGGTCCGATTGACAATTGCGTCTCAATTTCTTTGATCGTTTAGATGATGAAATTATCAAATACGTTTTTTAAAGTTTAGAATATTTTCCAATTTGTTATCAATTTGTTTGGAATCACGACAAAATATGAACTAATTCGATAATTATTGTGTTTTATCTGATTTTGAGCACACTAAAAATTAATTACGGTTTTTTTCCGCCTTTGAGACTAAATATTTCAACTAATCCAATTGGAGTTCGCTGTGTAAATGCGAAAGATTATTTGACATTTCGTAATAACAATGCCGACAAACTAGCTGCTACTGTGTATGTGTATGTGTATGTAATTGCGCATAATTAATTCAATCTGAAACAATGACCAATAGACGATGCGCCATCTATTGGTGATTCTTTTAATTTTCATTCGATTGTATCGTTGTTGAAATGGTTATGAGCAAAAAAAAAGTCATAAACACAAAAGTCATCGATGCCAAAATATTTACATCAAATTCAGGGACAGGCGTTGCTGTAATGACCACCAATTATCGTATATTCCTTATAAATAGTATAAAAGAGCCGAAAAAATCGACAATTGCCCGAAATGCCAAGTGAATATCATCACCCATACGTTCGATTAAGACTAACTTTGATGGTACTTTTGATTTGATTAATTTACTTGACTTCTAGTTCAACAGGTAGATAAAACATC